AGGAATGCAAGTCAAGATTTTGTGCTGGCTGTGGAGGGGCTCTGTATGCGCAGAGCACCCGGCCTGGGCTTAAAGTCAGGTGTTGCAGACAGATTAGGCATCCACAGGTCTGACACTGGGAAAATTTGACCCAGGACATTTATTTTATCTTTCCTCCTGGCATAAAGTATCAAGTGCACCTTTCACCTCTCAAGAAGTAGAAACATTGAAAATAATTTGTAGGTAAATTTAGCTCCAGGCCCAGATGGTCTGACAGCAAAAATGTTTAAATATACAGCCTAAGCTATGGCTGCAGCCTTCTTTCTTGATTTCAGTCTATTTCTACATCATGGCTCTCTTCCAGTAAGAAAAACATGTCCTTCACTGAGATCCATAAGGCTGACTAACAATCTGTTTCAACAGTTTTTCTTGACTCTGTCTGCATCTCCCATCTCTCGGTCTGTGATTTTACCTGATAGCCGGGCGTTAGCCCTGGGCCCCTTCCCCTCCAGCGAGTCCTGCTCCCACAGTGCTGGATGTCGGCTGCCTCGCGCCGGGCAGGAGGAGCTCCCGCTTCACCATCGCTCTCGCTGGGGTCAGCGGTGAGGTGCTGCCCACCTGGGCAGCGAGCTGCCAGCATCCTCTCAGTGCTGGAGGGCAGCCTTCTTCATGTGGTCGTAACTAAAAACGCACACCGCAAAATGCCCAAAAAGTGCTGAGATGAAGAACCGGCCTGGTCCGCCCATGACCCAGCAGAGATGATTTCCAAGCCATGGTCTGCAGAGAGGTCTTCGCAGTTGCTCCGTGACTCAGGCTGACCTCTGTTACAATGCTTTTGGCTTGACTTGCATTGAAAGGAGGAGCAGCCCTTGCAGCAGGGCTCCACACTGGGTTCACTCCTCTCCCATGCGTCTTGGGCATTTTTATTTTCACCATGCACATTTTTCTTTTGGAAATAAGCCGCTCATCTACTGTACGGCTCTGTGCAAAATGTCTCCTGGGCAATAGAGCATCTCTCTGCTGTTAAAGCAGCCCAGGGAAATGCAGAGGGGATGCAGTGCTCAGCACCGTAGAGAACGGCAGGAGTAAGCCCAGATCTCTCAGGTCTAATCCAGCATTGGGCGAAAGTACTGAGGTGTCACACGGGCTTCGGCTGGGCCCCAATAACTCGTGATCTAAAATGCTGGGTGTAAGAAACAGGAGAGTCGTGGTCTTACTTTGCTGCTCGGACTTGGTTGGCAAGACTGCAGCAGAAGTCTTGAGGCATGTGGCATCTATTTTTACACGGCTTGATTCAAAGTTGTTGAAGCTGAGAAGAGTCTCCCCACTGCTTTCAATAGACTTTGATATGAATTTAAATTTAAAAAAAAAACACTATTAAAAATAACAGAATCATGGATTTAAAAATTATTAAAGCGTTGGGAGCTGTGTTCACCACCAGTTTCTCATCGATTACAAAGGCCAGGCTCATGTAAGACTGTGACTAATATGCCAGCCATAAAATCAGTCCATGGCTGAGAGAGCAATAATTTTCCTAAACTAAATC